TTTTTTTTTTTTTGTTTTTGAGATGGAGTCTCACTCTGTCGCCCAGGCTGGAGTGCAGTGGCGCTATCTCGGCTCACTGCAAGCTCCGCCTCCCGGGTTCACACCATTCTCCTGCCTCAGCCTCCCGAGTAGCTGGGACTACAGGCGCCGGCCACCATGCCTGGCTAATTTTTTTTGTATTTTAGTAGAGACGGGGTTTCACCATGTTAGCCAGGATGGTCTCCGATCTCCTGACCTTGTGATCTGCCCGTCTGGGCCTCCCAAAGTGCTGGGATTACAGGCGTGAGCCACCGCGCCCGGCCCAGGGATGGTTCTTTTAATTTTGGTGTCTTTGGCTATGCAAAGGTTTTTTTTTTTTTAAACTTTTTATGTGTGTGTTTTTTGCTATGCAAAGGCTCTTAATTTTAGCATTGTAATATTAATGATTGCATTTATTTATGTTTTATTTAATTAGTCCTAGTCTACTATCCAAATAATATAGCTACTTGCATATATTTTCTTTTGATTTTTTCACATTTAGGTTTTTAATCAATCTGGAATTTATTTATTTATTTATTTATTTATTGAGACAGGGTCTTGCTCTGTTGCCCAGGCTAGAGTGCAGTGGCATGATCTTGGCTCACTGCAACCTCTACCTCTAGGGCTCAAACAATCTTCCCACTTCAGCCTCCTGAATAGCTGGGACCACAGGTGTGTGCCACCACACGTGGCTAATTTTTGTATTCTCTGTAGAGATGGGGTTTCACCATGTTGCCCAGTCCAGTCTTGAAATCCCAGGCTCAATTGATCCTCCCACCTTGGCCTCTCAAATTGTTGGGATTACAGGAATGAGCCACCATGCCCAGCCATGGAGTTTATTTGTGTGTGTAGTGTGAAGGAGGGCTCTAGTCATTCTTCCAATTAGAAGACTAGTCATCTCAACATCATATACTGAGGAGTTCATCTTCCCCTCAATAATTTTATGCCAGCTCTGTTAAATACAAAGCACTAATAATGGCTTGGATCTGTTTTGGGGCTACTTTGTTCCATGAGTTTGTTTAACTCTGCTCTAGTACCCCACTGCCTTAATTACTTATATAATTACTTAGGCAATTAGTTAATTAGCTTTATAATGACATCTGGTAGGTCAAGTCCCTCCTTCAGCTTTCCAAATTGTTCATATGAATTTTACGAATATCTCCTCCAGTTCTTTTTTTTTTTTTTTTTTTCTTTTTGAGATGGAGTCTTGCTCTGTCACCCAGGCTGGAGTGTCTTGGCTCACTGCAACCTCCACCTCGCAGGTTCAAGCGATTCTCCTCCCTCAGCCTCCCAAGTAGCTGGGACTACAGGCGTGTGCCACCACGCTCAGCTAATTTTTTGTATTTTTAATAGAGACGGGGTTCCACCATATTAGCCAGGATGGTCTCAATCTCCTGACCTCATGATCGCTCACCTCGACCTCCGAAAGTGCTAGGATTACAGACGTGAGCCACCGCACCCAGCACCAGTTCTATTTTTTTAAAAACAACATGTTGGCATTTTAAGTTAATTTTATTAAATTTATAGATTGATTTGAGATTTGATGCCAACTTTGTAACATTTCCCATCCATGAATATGGTATATTTCACTATTTGTCTAGGGCTTTTAAAATGACTTCCACAAATGTTTTACGTTTTTCTCCAAAAAGATTTTGCATATCTTGTAGGCTGATTACTGGGTAACTTTGTTTCTTTTTCTATTATAAGTAAAAATGTTTTAAATTATATTTTCTCTATTTTTCCTGCTGTATAATAATGCTGTGGATTTTTCTATATGGATTGTACCCAACGATCTTGCTGAATTCTCATATTGATGGCAACAGTTGTAAAAAATGTCTGAAATTTCTATCAGACAATCATGTTATCTGCAAATGATCATTTTGTTTCTTCCTTTCCTCTTTATTTCTCTCTTGTTTTATTGCATTGGCTAGGACCTTTACACAATGTTGGACAGACATAGTAATAACAAGGATCCTTAATGTGTTCCTGACTTTACTCCGAATAAGTACACAGATTTATTAAATGTTAATTTCATCAATTTCAGGGGTAAATCTGATTAGGTCATGATACATTGTTGTTGTTATTATTTTCTGAGGTATTTTATTCGCTAATGTTTTATATAGTATTTTCATGTCTATGTTCTCAACTGAGATTGGCCTATAAGTTTCTTTTTGGTATGGTTATTGTCCAGTGTTGTTATCAAGGTTCACTTGGTAGGCACTATTAGTGTTCTTTCCAACAGTTAGCCCCCATACTCTCCACTTTCTTACACACAAATCATGAAGTGGGGATACATCAGAACAGATTCTCTTTGAATAGCAAAGTTATTCCTTGAACATCCCTCTTTTTATCAAGGAGGAAAAAATCTTATGTCTCATTGGCCAGAACTAGGTCACATGGCCATCTGTAGCTGCAAGGGTGGCTAATTATAGTGAGTATTTGACATTTCATTTTACCATTCAAATTTGTGTTTTCTATTTATCATGCTTCTTGTAGGCTTCTCTTTTTTGTTTCCGGGCCCTCTGTGGATTGATCAAGTTTTCTCTCGGAGGTTATGGATTATTTTACTACCCCTTCAGAGATTACCTTTATATTTTGAATATGCATACTTGTCTCAGAAAATCTAAAATTAGGCTGGGCACGATGGCTCATGCCTGTAATCGCAGCACTTTGGGAGGCCAAGGCTGATGGATCATTTGAGGTCAGGAGTTCAAGACCAGCCTGGCCAACATAGTGAAACTCTGTCTCTACTAAAAAATACAAAAATTAGTCAGGCATTGTGGTGGTGCACATTTGTAGTCCCAGCTACTCAGGAGGCTAAGGAACAAGAATCGCTTAAGTTCAGGAGGTGGTGGTTGCAGTGAGCCGAGATTGCACCACTGCACTCCAGCCTGGGCAATAGAGCTGGCTATCTCAAAAAAAAAAAAAGGAAAATCTAAAATTAATCAATATTTTTTCTAATTCCTAAACAATATTAGCACCTTAAAGTGCTTTTTACTATAATTATTACTCTCCCATCTTCTGTGCTATTGTTGTCTTATTATTACTGTTTTTAAAACATCCTACATCCATTCAAAGATTTACCTAGTTGTTTATCAATTTCTTCATTTATTATTACTTCTAGAACTCCCCCTCCTTCTTCCTGGGCTCAGTTTCCTCTTTCTTACAGCACATCCTTTAGTAGTTCTTTCAATATGGGTCTCAGAGTTAGTAAACTCTCAGCCCTTGATTGTCAAAAATTATTTTTATGCCTGATTCTCAGTTTCAACTTTCCATTTATGTGGGCCTGATACCCTAATTCCTGTTCCCCATGGGCATGACATGCCCAGTCCCTAGATGTCAGAACCCGCAGTCTTCTGATGTCCCCCCAGTGCCCTTTGTTAGCATTAGCGGGTCTGCTTTCCATTCCGGTTTCAGTTTGCCTGTTTATTTCTAGCCTCAGAGGATTTCCCTTTCTTTGTTTTGAGCTCAGCTTCTTTACATAGTTATATTTCATCCTGTTTGTCATGGGAGGTGGTGGAGGGTCCCCATTAATCTTTTTCCTTACTATTACTGGAAGTCCACATCTATTTATAACAAATTTCCCTCTTACTAATGTTTATTACTCTTCTTTTAAATAAATATGAAATAAATATGATATGACAAAACAGACATGACAGGGACAGCTGGATGCTTCTTATTTTGTTTCAGCAAAACTTATAAAGTTCCTAAAATTCTTCCTGATTTTCATATATAAGGAACATTCTCCAGGTAATAACTTGAGAGAATGCAATTGTATGCCAAGAAATGGAATTTTCCATCGGTTTCTATTTTCCTGCATCTCCCTCACTTCTCTTTGCCCTGCAGAGGTGATCCCCGAGGAGAAACCTGCTCAGGATTTGATTTACACCCTCCACACTAAGAATGCCAAAGCAGCATATTGAGAAACCTGTCTCTATAAAGAAAGCATGCCCAGGCCAGACCCAGAGCTCAGTTGCCCCTGCAAATCAACAGCTGGCTGGACACTGAAGTGGTTCCAAAGCCTGGGAATTCACAGCTACTAATAGATGAATGGGATCAGTCTCATTTGCATTTCATCGTGACTCAGGAATTCCCTGGTACTGCATCTCTGGGCAAATTAAAACATCAGTTTAATCAGCTCATGCCCTTCACTGTCAGGACACGGGTCTGGGAGACTTCCATCCACCCTAGTGACAGGAACCAAAGTCTCCCATCAAGAAGGAATAGTCTAATTCAAGCTGCTGGGGAGTGGGGCCAAGGCGAGAATGGGACTCTAAATATGGTTCCTCTCAGAGACATCTGACCATGTCCGAGGCCCTGAGAATGGACAGTCACTGGTGTCAGTGAATAAACTGGGGCACTGCCCAGCTAGGGGCATTGGAAATACTTTCTGGATAATAATATATGGGCCAATCGGAGAGGCCATAGGTAGGGGTAAAAGTATTCATGAAATGGCTGACGTAAGACTTGTTTGCTGGAACAGACAGTTAATTTCAACAAAATATATTTCTTTTTTTTTCTTTTTTTTTTTTTTTCTTTTTTGAGATAAGGTCTCACTGTGTCACCCAAGCTGGAGTACAGTGGCATGATCTTGGCTCACTGCAGCCCTTAACCTCCCAGGCTCAAGTGATCCTCCCACCTCAGCCTTCCGAGTAGTATAGATGCACACCACCATGCCCAGCTAATTTTTGGATTTTTAGTAGAGATGGGGTTTTGCCATGTTACCCAGGCTGGTTTCGAACACCTGCCCTAAAGTGATCTACCACCTTCAGCCTCCCAAAGTGCTGGGATTACAGGTGTGAGCCACCGCGCCTGGCCAGGCAGATTCTGCTTGCAAAAGCAACGAGATTGGTGGTTGTAGACTGTGGATGTAGTTACTTTCCAAGTGACCTTTTCATCCCAGACACCCACAGCCTCACTGTCACACCAGGGGGTCAGGTGGGCAGGGGCTCTTGGGCAGAACGCAGGCTGCCATGACTCACCTGTTGAGATACACCCGTTTCTCGGTGAACTGCCCGTTGCCATGGTGAGGGTCCTCAAAAGGCTCATTCTGGACGACCTCCACCCCTTCTCCCCGGTCACTCTGTTCATGGCTGTGTTTGCTGATCATGTACAGCTGTCCAATTTTGTACTACAAAAACAGAGTCAGAGACAGAAAGGTCAGCCCCCACAGCATGCCCCTGACATCCCCCTCCAACCACGGCTTGGCGAGCCACTAATAACATCAGCACCTTCTGCTGAGAAGAGAAAGCAGCCACATGGGCCTCGTGTTACTTTTCCTTGGGAGCTAGGGAGAGAACCAGTTGTGAGTAGAACGTGGAGACGGAGTGTTCCCGTGAATATTTTCCATCACCTTGGCAAATGCTCGGCAGGGTGGCTGGCAGTCTGTCAGCTTTGGCAGCCGATGAAACCTTGGGAAGGGGGACACTGGAGTCTCCCTTTGCATTCTACAGGGTGAAATGGAGCTAGAGTCCTGCTTGGCCTAAGACAGCCAAGGGTGTGTGATTTCTGCCCTTGCTTTCTGCCTAATTAGCGGCATTGCTGAACATGGAGCATTATATATCATCTACTTCTTCTATCCTCCCTCTCTCAAAATGCTCAATTCTCCCGGAAGCCTCTGTCCCCTAGAACAGCGGTTCTCAAAGGTGGCTGGATATTAGAATCACCTGGAAGCTTTTCAAAGCTCCAGAGGCCCAGGCCCCACCATGAGCAGAGCCAAGGTTCAGAATCTGAGCCCCCGAAGGCTGCTCCTTGCCGAGGACCACCTACAGCACCTTTAGCTCCTTTTCAGCCAATTCCATGAAAAGTGTGGAGCCTTCCAGTCCAAGGCCCCAAAAATCACCTATCTTACCCTAAAATGCTCATGTGGAGCAGCCTACTATATGAACATTTTCTGTCCTTTCTTCCTGTATGAGCTATTCTATCTGCCTTCCTGCCTCTCTGAAAACCCTAGGGCCAGCAGGCATTTCTTCCCCCAGTGGACTTTCAAAGTGGCAAAATGAACTTGATGGAAAAGAGAGAGCGGGGGGTGGGGAGAGAGGAAGGAGGAAACTAAACAACTTTTGCATGAGGCACAACCCTGCTCAGAGTCAGGACGCAGGACGATGCGATCCTGCTGCCGTCCCTACTAGAGACAGACACTGGGTCATGACCACCGACGCCTCTGGGATGGTGGAGTGGGGCCTGAGTCTGCAACAAACTAATGAGGACTTGGGGTTATTCCCTAAGAATCTGCAGGGATTCGAGTTCCCTGTTTGTCTGTATAAGAGACAGAAACAGATTTTAAATTAAGGGGGCCGATGAAATGTACAAGTCAACAGTGCAGTTAGTTTCACAGCTGAGAAGACACATGTGCCCGAAGGTCTCTCTCTCATTCTCAAGCAGGAGCAGGGACGGGAGTGTGAAGACGCTCTGAAAGGCTCTGGTCTGCAGCCAGCCCTAGGGACTGAGCCCAGTAACCATGACAATGGAAGCAAGCTGCTGCCTGGGTCTTCTCAAAGGCCTGTGTCTCCTATCTGTGCCACACCCCTTGCCAGAATGGTCACATGAAAATACTCTTAATGTGAACGTATGAGTGCACGGGTCTGTGTGTGTGCACCTGTGTTTGCAGGAAGTGGGGAGTGCTGGGGATAAGACCAGGAAAAGGAAAAATAAAATTTAAAGATGAAATCATCTTTTTTTGTTTGAGACAGGGTCTCACTCTGTCACATGGGCTGGAGTGCTGTGGTGTGATCTCAGATCATTGCAACCTCCACCTCCTAGGCTCAAGCAATCCTCCCACTTCAGCCTCTCTAGCAGCTGGGACTACAGGTGCGTGCCACCATGCCCAGCTAATTTTTGTATTTTTTTGTAGAGACGGGGACTCGCCATGTTGCCTAGGCTGGTCTTGAACTCCTGGGCTCAAGCAATTCGCCCGTTTCAGCCTCCCAAAGTGCTGGGATTATAGGCGTGAGCCACTGCACCCAGCCTGAAATCAATTTTTAAAATTAATTTTAGGATCAGAAGCTTGACCTCTCTTCCCTTAGTCCAGTACTGCTTTGACTTTTGCTCATAAGGGCTCACACTTTTTCAAGGAGGAAGACAGTAAGAAAAAGTTTACAGATTGCAGATTTGTGAGCTATACCTGTGAGATCAACATGCCACCTTATACAGACGGGCACACACTACCCAGGGGGTGGAGATTTCACTGACAGTTGCTTTGTACTTGGGGCTCAAAAAATAAATGCTTACATGCAATGGGATATTATTCAGCCATAGAACGGAACAAAGTACTGAAACTGCTTAATGTTGTTAAAGGTTGAATCATGTCCCCCACAAAATACATACTGTGAAGTCCTGACCCCTAGTAACCCGGAATGTGACCTTATTTGGAGATAGGGTCTTTACAGAGGTAATCATGTTAAAATGAGGTCATTAGGGTGGGCCCTTATCCAAAATGCCTGGTGTCCTTATAATAAAGGGAAATTTGGACATGGATACAGGCAGGCATAGAGGAAGATGATGTGGAGAGAAAAACGGCCATCTATAAAGCCAAGGGTTGAGGTCCAAACCAGATCCTTCCCTCACAGCCTCCAGAAGGAACCAAGCCTGCTGACACCTTGATTTCAAACTTCTAGCCTCCATAATTGTGAGACAGTAAATTTCTTTTTGTTTGTTTGTTTGTTCTGAGACAGGGTATCACTCTGTCGCCCAGACTGGAATGCAGTGGTGTGATCTTGGCTCACCGCAACCTCCGCCTACAAGGCTCAAGTGATTCTCCTGCCTCAGCCTCCCAAGCAGCTGGGACTACAGGCATGCGCCACCACCACCCGACTAATTTTTATAGCTTTAGTAGAGACGGGGTTTCACCATATTGGCCAGGCTGGTCTTGAACTCCTGACCTCAAATGATCCACCCACCTCAGCCTCCCGAAGTGCTGGGATCACAGGCATGAGCCACCGCTCCTGGCCCCAAATTTCTGTTGTCGAAGCCACCCAGTTTGTGTCGCTTCGTTACAGCAGCCCTAGTACACTCACGCAACAGGTACAGGGATTCCTTCTGGGGCGATGAAGGTGTTTTTGGATAGAGGTGGTTTTGCACAACATTGTGAACGCACCAGATGCCACCGCTTGTTCCCTTTAACCTGGCTGATTTTATGCTATGTGAATTTCTTTTTTTTTTTTTTTTTTTTTTGAGACGGAGTCTCGCTCTGTCACCCAGGCTGGAGTGCGGTGGCCGGATCTCTGCTCACTGCAAGCTCCGCCTCCCGGGTTTACGCCATTCTCCTGTCTCAGCCTCCCGAGTAGCTGGGACTACAGGCGCTCGCCACCTCGCCCGGCTAGTTTTTTGTACTTTTTAGTAGAGACGGGGTTTCACCGTGTTAGCCAGGATGGTCTCGATCTCCTGACCTTGTGATCCGCCCGTCTCGGCCTCCCAAAGTGCTGGGATTACAGGCTTGAGCCACCGCGCCCGGCCTGCTATGTGAATTTCACCTCAATTTAAACAAAAGCACTGTTTCTGCTTCAGAAGCAGATACCCCTAAACCAAAGTACTGCCCAGGACCTCGGTGAGGGGCTTGGCAGACGAGTTATTTCCACCATTGGACCATCTTCAGGCGCTCCAACCCACTCACGTATGAAAAACATATGGGATCAAGGTCAGTGCATGACATAGAAAAGCCATTAGCCAGACGCCAGTCAGCCCTGGCTGGCTCAGCTCGAGCGCTTCCTGCTCAGTGGAGATGCGAATGGCTGAGGCAGCTGATTCACCGGCAGCCGATGGAGGGCCGGGTGGCCGGCCTCATTGATCATTCCAGTGGCTGCTGAATGAGCCGGCGCAGGGCAGACACTGGCATTAGCTCACTGAGATGGCGTCAGTCTGGGGGTGACCTGCAGACGCTGGGGGTGGCAGGATGCTCGAGCCCAGACACCGAGGTGGTCAAGGACTCTGCAGCCGTCACTTCTTCCCCTCCTAAGGAAATCAGGCCCATTTTGCTGGTCGTGGCCATGGGAACTGGACCATTCCAGGAGCAGTGGTTTTGTTGTTGTTTTTAAATCTCATATTAACTCGCAGACACAAGCAGTACTTCCTCATCTGGGGGAGGGAGAAGAGACAGAAAGTCCTTAAACCACCTGTTTCAAAATCTCCAGAGACACTCCTAAAAATGCTGAATCTCAGGTTGTTCCAGACCTTCTCCATTCAGACTCTGGGGAGAAGAGAATGGGAATCTTTCTGAAATGCACGTAAATGCTGAGAACCGTTGTAGCAGAAGGTGGCGAAGGCAGCCATCAGCACTTGCTCAGCAACACACGTTCTGTCTTTAGGACGCCTGTTTCTTTTTTCCTCCTTTACACTGATTTCTTATAAAGCTCCATCCCTAACTTAGTGAAAATACCATATCCCTGACCACCAGCTCCAAACTTGTATGTTGCATAAAGGCCACAACATCCAAAGACATAGAAAGATTCTAAAGCCTTGAAAGCCTGAGAATTGATCATAGAACTGATGATGATGATGATATAGCATCACTTTATTCATTGTCCATTAGCGCAAGGCACTGATTTAAGTGCTTTATATTTCTTTTGCCTTTCTTTTAAAAGAGACAGGGTCTGGCTGGGCGCGGCGACTCATGCCTGTAATTCCAGCACTCTGGGAGGCCGAGGCAGGCGGATCATCTGAGGTCAGGAGTTCAAGACCAGCCTCGTCAACATGTCAAAACCCCGTCTGTACTAAAAATACAAAAATTAGCTGGGTGTGGTGGTGGACGCCTGTAATCCCAGTTAATCGGGAGGCAGAGGCAGGAGAATCACTCGAACTCAGGAGGTGGAGGTTGCAGTGAGCCGAGATCACGCCACTACACTCCAGCCTGGGCGACAAAGGGAGACTTTGTCTTTAAAAAAACAACAAAAAAACCCCAAAAACAAAACCAAACACACACACACATACACACAACTAAGTAAATAAAATAAATAAAAAATTAAAAAAATTAAAAGCAACAGGGTCTTACTCTGTCACCCAGGCTAGAGTTCAGTGGCTCACCTCAGCCTCGCCTTCCTGGGCTCAAGCGATCCTCCTGTCTCAGCCCCTCGAGTGGCTGGGACTACAGAAGTGTGCCACCACACCAGTTGATTTTTATTTTTTAACTTTTGTACA